ATGCGTTTTGTTATGAGTCTGGGCTCACAAAGATTTTACAATTACTGGGAATGCGTTTTTATAATAAGCACTAAATAATGCCAAAATGGGGCATTTTCAATGCCGCACTGCTCCTTAATGAGCATGGGCACCCCTCTTTTTTATTTCAAAATTGAAGTTATCATATGACAAATATTCAGTGGACAAAGTTTGGACAAAAATCTATTGTCACTTTTATTTCAGAGGAATTACCTTAAACAATTAGATTATGAGCTCGAGATTTCTAACGCGTGAATCACGCATAGAAATCGAGAGCGAATAATCAAATAGTTTAAGAATAAATCTACGTTCAAAACTTTATCTAAATCCTCTTCACAGACACTTCGAAAACGCCAAGAAGCGGTCGTCAATTTTGTTAACAAGGGCACGCTACTCACTATCTGTCACACAATAGATAGTGAGTAGCGTAGCCAATCAGAGAACGGCGTTCGTGATAGAACACTAGTAGATTTATTTATCGATAGAAAGAGGGTACATGTATACGTTTTCTATTTCATAAATAATACACGAACAGGCTATAAACCTACAATTTTAAGCCAATTTCCATTTTAAGGACAACACAGTTACAATGGCGTTTTTATGCAAATGCTGCAATCTGATTGGGCGAGCCAACACACACTATTGTTCACGATTTGGTGTTCACGGTCTTGTGAGTTGCACAGTAAAATCTGTCTTGAGGATTTTAATCTCATTTTGCATGAATGTCAAATCAGAGCCAATGTCTATTTCAAGCAATTCCTGGGGTGCCATACGGGCAGATTTTGATATCTAAATCGGGGGGGGGGGGTACTCCCTTTTAGCCATTTTGATCATTAATAGGGTCTGATTTTTGCACTCTAGTCTTAAATTGGGCATTTTTCTTTCAGAAGAAGCTACTTCGACAATACCGATCAACAGAAGCCCTTCACAATGCCTTAACATCGGTCTGAACTAGGAAACTAAGTATAAGGCAGGTCTCAAACAGGGTATTGATTTAGGGTCAGGTCATAAAGAGGGTATTGAAAATCGGCGATTTTGGTCATAAATATGGTAAGCCTTTTGGGAGGCGGGCCGCCCACCCCCAGAGTACCTCCCAGCGGATCTAAATGAACAAAGTTTCTTACCGTTATAGACAGGTTCCAGTTCCACTGGATATAAATCGTCCTCTGCCCTAAATTCCTGTTCCCTTGGAACGGCTCTTCCCTCCTGTCATGAGGAATAGAGAGTACATGTGTTAAAGTATATAATGAGGTAAATGGGTAATGCAGTGGGGGAGGGGGGGGGGGCGGTAATGTAATGATCTAAACTGATGGATCGGAGGAGCTCATGTATAGAGCTGCACTCGTGGTACTTAACAGTTATGCTTGTTTGTTGATAATGGACTTCAGTGTTGCTGTCAGACCTTCCTTATGTTCTTATGGGCCTCGCGTTTCCGAATATTTTTATGTCAACAATCAATCTTACTAATACATATTTTCCCAAAGATGGCGCTATCTTTCCCGCTCGGGATGACCCGCTGTGTCCCGCAAGAAAATAGTATTATTTTTCTTATATAATA